ACATTATGAATACCATTATATACATAAAGGCTTTAAGTAAAGTGTAACTAAGAAAGTTTGAAGAAATCTTCACGCAGCTCTTAAAATAACTCTTTATACTGACTGTGGCTCTCAAACTTCATAAAAGCACATTAAAAGGTGACTTCTGTGTCTTTTCTCATACAGAGTTGTCGTATGACTTCTGAATATTGACCACCTTTGCTAGTTTTTGCTTGGAGCTTGAACTCTTATTTAAAAGCTCTGTAAATATTCTTCAAAAATCCTCTTTTGTATCTGATGGAAATATAACACGTTCTGTTTCGAATGTCATGGTGTGAGTAAAACAGAATTTCAGGAGAACTTTTTTTACTTTTTAATAGAGTAACCCATTTTGTGTGTCTTTTATACACAAAAACAATATAATTGTGTCCAAAAACATTAATGTACAGTCACTGAGAGGTATCTCATGCATATCAATATAACTCATGCTGTCAAGTGTAAACTCTCTGCGGTCCATAAGCTTGTACTGGACTTCACTCAAACATCACTGGAATAGAAATAAAGAAATACCAGCACAACCTCTAGTTGTGTTTATGTTAAATAAACCTGCTGAGTTTCAGCATCAGCTTTAAAGAACAGACCACCAGTTCAGATCCACTTTTAGATCGTCAATATTTCAATTCAAGTAACTCCAAATATGAAGAGTTTGGCCCGAGAAGAAGCTTTAACACGACAGATTTATCCACCTACACATGGACCTTTTATGTTCAGAAGACTCTGATGTTTGGAAACATCTTAAGAACTTTTGAAGACTATTTTAGGGTTGTGTTACTTTGATTTGTTCAGTTTCCATGAGTAACCGTGGGTAAAAGTGTGGTTTATTCATCCGTTTTAACAGCTGGTTTTGTGATTTTCAAAACAGGCCATTTATTATCTCTCTGGGCAGTGTTGTAATGAAGTGCATAAATATTTAGGTTTACATAAGAGTCCATAAACGTAGTGTTTTAACATATTTATATAACTTTTGTTCACAATCTGACTAATGTCATGACAATAATAATTGATTAAAAGCTCAATCTCAGAGTCGGTCAGAATGACAGTACTGTGTCTAACCACCAGATGACAGCATCATCTCACGTCTGCCATACGCTCAGTTCCTTCCAGGTTCCTTCACATAAACCCTCTCAGATCCGTTTGATATTTAAAATACAGTATTTATAATATAGTAAGTATACAACATGAGGATGCCCTACTGTAACCCCTGAGACACTGACTGAACTCTAAACCGCACTCAATTTCTGCCATTCAAGAAAGTTGGTAGGCTGGTTTAAGCTGGATGTAACTGGTTTCAGCTGGTCAAGCTGGATCAGGTTTCCCAGCCTTGCCATCTAAAGAAGTGGTGAAACCCCCTCTAAAACCAGCCTGCCCAAGCCAGCTATGACTAGACTGAAAGACCAGGGCTGTGTGTATAAAATGTCTCAAAAAATGCTCTTAAAAATAGGTTTAAGCTTTGACCTAAATGCTTAAAAAAACCTTTGACTGAACTGTTACCTTAAAGAGTTTTTGTTGGTATAAATTAATGTATTTGGGTTGATTCAGCAATATTAAATCATATGAATTTAGATGTAATCATCATTTTTGTCAGTCTATGAGAAAATGTGTACTTGCAAAAGTGTTAAAAATTGCTTCGTTAAAAGTAGGACTTGTTTAAGAGTAGAAGCTATTAGAAGCTAAAAGCAAAGACAGACGCTGTGTCTGAGTATATGAATTTAAATTTACTTTGCGACTGTTAAAAAAGTGTGTTCTATATAGTATGAATATGAGTAGTTTAATTGAAATCCAGATGTACTACATCCACCATGCTGTCATTATCATGTGACCTACCAGCGTCTGTTTCCATAGATCCTCTCCCGTGGCCTCATGGGATAGTAAAGTGTCCATCATATACACACTTCAGCATCCCACCGGAAGTAGTAGGTCATCCGGGGACTTACATACTATGTATTCGGACATACTACTCTGTTGGGCTACTGTTTTTGGCCTACTATATAGCACTAGCGGCGCCAGGATTTTGATTGTAGGTGGGCCTCCAGAAAACTGGATGGGCCAGTAAAAAACGGGTTCCCCTTCATCTCTGTTTCAGCGCTTTTCTGCGGCACAAACAAGCTGCTTTGCTTTGCGTTTCATATTAGCTAATAGCTACCGTCTGTGTCTGTCTCATTGAGCTTGCTTGAAAAGCTTGCGCGCCAACGTCATTCATTTCATTGGATCACTTGCTGGTGACGATGCAGTCTGTGAGCAGGGCTGCGTTCAGCCCCGACAAAACGTTGCACAACGTTTTTTAAACAGAAACGTAGTTCATACTGTTTTAATACCCTGTATTTTCTTTCTCATTTTTTGGAAAAGCACTTATGTTTATAGCTATACCAAATGTCATACACTTGCAATGGAGCTAAAAATATAAACAACTACATCATTATGTTGATATCCTATATTTATACAACAAAACTTACGACAAACATGTCTTCTAATATCCTCAGTTGTTGCGTATACCGAGCTGCATCGAACACATTTGTAAATTACTTTCCTTGAACCCATTGTGCGAGTTCACTTTAATACCGCGTGCTTTATATACATGTTGCTGCTGATTGGACTGCAGTTCTGACACACCCACCAAACAAGAGAAAACGCATCTCAAACCCCGTTGCACACACACCGGTGCACGCCAACATGACGTTCAACCTGGAAACCGTAGCAAAACATTGCGCACCGTTTTGAACTTGAACGTGCTCCTGGCTTAAGAGTCCACACATGGGGTAGAAGCCGCTGATTGGCTGAGAAGCTTTCACTCAAAGCTTTCCTTATTGGATGAACTGCTAGAATGAAAATCTCTCACCTGGGTCAAAATGGCCGGGCCCGGACCTAAAATCCCGGGCCCAATGGTAGCGCCGCGGGTGCTATATGGTAGGGAAGTATTGTATTTCGGTCGCAGTGAGACTCTTAGACTGACGTGCCACTAAAGTGTTGTGAACTAAGACCTACAATAATGTCAACCCAATCCTCAAACTCTGAATCAGACAAGCGACTTGCTTTTGCTGCATGGTTTGAAGATCAGTTGGAGAGTCAATGAACTGCCATACAGTAGAGGCCAATAGTGTTGACCAGCTTAGGGAAATTGATGTTCACCCTTTATCTAAATATTTATAAAAATGTGTCAATGGAGTATGGACGAATTTTTCTTCTTTCGCACCTGACTTTTATTTATACTCTAGCATTTGTACTTTTTTCATCAGGTTTTATAGGATAAATAACAGTAAGATCAACGTGACTGTCACTTTCTTTCAATATGATTGGTTTAATCTGTGCAAAAACAAGCCCCATCTTAACCCTCTGTTACTACCATGAGCACATTTTTTTTAAAAAGGTTAGAAGTTCAGTTGATTTACTCAATATGAGACTATTCTAGACAGTATATTTTTGATATTGTCTGGTCAGCATCTCAGAGTTTTCCATGGATGCCAACAATATTCGGAGTACATTTTGTTTAAGTGCTTGAATGTTTGGCCTAATGCAGGTTTAGATGTTGTTAGTTTAAAATACAGTTTACTATCTTATCTATTAAAAATCCATCACAGGAGTCGATAGTTGTATTTGTGATAAAGCAATGGAACATGCCACATTGTGTGGACATCATTTTTGTCCAGGCTGTCATACAAAAGATAACCAATGAAATGATAATAACTGATGATGTTGTAGTCAATGTATGATTTTTCCTGAGAGCTTTTTGTTTTTCTATGCATTTTTAATGCTTTTTTTTATATATATATATAACCTAAAATAAAGCCTGTAGCTGTAGTTTGCAAATAATTTTGTCAGATAAATGCCTTAACCAAGTTTAGGTCTTACAGTGAGACCATAAACAAAAAAACTCTATCCTAACGAAAAAGAAATGACTTCTCAGCTTCTCAGATGTCGTTCAGGTTTCTCCAATAGAGGGCGCTCTTCTGTATGAAGATCCTATAAATGACTTACATTTTACTGAATGAAGATGAGGCTGCGGAGGATAGAGTTGGTTCAATGCTTTTATACTATGCTGTCAATTGTTCATCTAATGCAACATTGAAAACATCCATCCATCCATCCATCCATCCATGATGGTTATTTAACTTTTTTAGTTCAAATTAATTAATGTGTGTATATATACTGTACATATATATATACTTATATATATATATACTTATATATATATATATATATATATATATATATATATATATATTGTTTTTTGCTACATCCGCTGTTTAAAATACAACTGAAATTCTGAAATAAAATACAAAATTATCCTGAAATGAAATAAATAATCTGAATGACGTTTAAACCAGGTCTCACCAAGGGAAGTTTACAAGATAAATGCCTTTTAAATGCAGTTTGTGCTAAATCAAGGGTGCAATTTGGTCCTCATGAAACATTTTGATAAAGACTTCTGCTTGTTTGCAAACTTTAACTGGTAGTGTATGTCTATTTCACTCAAAAACAGCATGAAATGTTGCTGGAAATAATCCCTGAGCTTTAGGTTCAGCTTGAATGAATTTCCTTGTTTTTAGGCACTAAACACTTTTGAAATAGAGAGAATTCAACGTCCACCCCAAATAACGATCACAGCCATGATGTAAACATGAAGAAATGTTTTAATGTCAAATAAATATCATCCAAAAAATACATGCATCTCATTGTGAGACATAATAAGTGTGATAAGATAAGTTGGTAACATATGATCTAAACGAGTGGTTTTCCTGACAAAGATTAAGAAGCTAAAGATCTAATGATAAGCTCTTGTATTGTTGCGTAAGGCTTAATCTTCAGCAGGGAAACACCCAACGGCTTCTTTCAGGGAACAGGACGGCAGTGCTGAGATCTCACCACAAGGTCGCGGTAGAACAAAGACAACATTTTACATTGTAAAAGGGTTAAAGTTGATGACATCAGCCGGCCTGTTCCCAAAACACCCGTCGAAATCCTTTCACAGATCTCCCAGCTCAAATAAACAATACAACGCTCAATAAATAATCAATAAATAGGATAGCAGGAGCAGACTCCTCTCTGCCGTGGGTAGTGTCATGGAGGCTCTTCACGCTTCTCGTCTCTACGCTTGACTGGCATAGATCTAGAAGAAGGAAAGTAGGTCGTTACACAGTGCTCGTTGTCTCTGTTTGTGCTTTATGAGGATCTTTTCCATCCAACCAACAGTTAAAGAAAAGCACCGCTTGGCCAGTGGACCAATGTGTTGATTCAGCAATATTAAATAATATTAACACTTTACAATAAGGTTAATTACTAGTTAATATTAGTTAACTAACACGAACTCGCAATGTATTTGTTACAGTATTGATCAATCTTTTTCAAATCCAGCTGTTCATTGTGTGTTCATGTTAGTTCACAGTGCATTAACTAATGTTAACAACTACAACCTTTGATTTGAATAACGTATTAGTAAATGTTGAAATTAGTATTACCTAAGATTAATAAATGCTAGAAGTATTGTTTATTCTTAGTTCATGTTAGCTAGGGTTGTGAGCTAATGAACCATATAGTGTTAGCGTTAGCTGCTATCACCATTCTTGTCAGTCTATAAGAAAGTGTGATTGTTTTGAAACTCACCTTTTGTAGAAGAGTTCGAAAGTTCTGCATAAACGTTTGGCTGTCAACCTCGCTGTACGATGATTCGCACTGAGCTTTCTGAAACAGAACATTGTACACGTCAGAACTGCAATCATATTTCATATTTGCCATGTAAACACTTCAAAATAAAGGTTCCTAAAGGGTGTTTTGCAGCATTTTTGACTCTCCAAAGAACATTTCAGTGCAAAAAAAACTCATTATTTTTTGTTATCTTTTTGCATGGGTTTTTTTTAGTTTAACTGACTTATTTCGATAAGTTGAGGACAAGAAAACTTAAAATTTCTTGTTGTCTGGACAATTTAGTTATCTCTACACAAAAAAAATAAGTTGAAATAACTAAATTGCTAAAATATTTTTTACAGTGTGAGCAGTTCTTATAGGAAACCATTTTTTCTTAGCGTGAAGAACATTTTTTCCACTATAGAGAAGCTTTAGTTTAGTGGAATGGAAAGTTTCCATGGATGTTAACGGTTCTTGACATCGACGCCGATTAGGACCTTTATTTTTAAGAGTGTAGAAAATGTTCATTTGCAGCAGTTGTGTTGCTTTGTTTCTCACCTGTGTCTCTTCCGGTTTGCAACTGGGCAACCCATTCAACTGTGAAAATAAAGAACAATGAATGAATAAATAAATCAGCACTTCTCATTTCTGAGGTGTATGTGTTTAAAAACAAGAACAATGAGCAGAAGGCGTAATAAACACACACTCACGATGATTTTTTTGCTGAGCTCCCTGGAGATTTTCCCCCGGAGCTTTATGAGTTTGGCATTGGTGACCGGCAGCCGGGTCATGTTATGCCTGAAAGAGTCCAGTGCAGGTGCAATGCAGCAGTCCTGTCGAAACAAACACACAACCGTTTAACACAAATGCACTTTTTTTTTTTTTTTTTTTGCTACTTTATGAGTTCAGATGGAATGGATTTTTAGGCAAACCCCATATAAAAGACTCTCGGTACTTGGGTCAAGGAATCGGATCGGTTTTCTGAAACTACCCAACAATGATCTCTCTCTCTCTCTCTCTCTCTCTCTCTCTCTCTCTCTCTCTCTCTCTCTCTCTCTCTCTCTCTCTCTCTCTCTCTCTCTCTCTTCCTGTCGTTATTGCATGCAGACATCTATACATCTTGACTCCAAATTTCCCTTCTGCTCATAAAGCAGTTTTCACAGAAACTACGAGGAAACTCTTTCTTTCCACACTGAACCCTGAACGTTTTCTGCTTGAGAGTGTACAGAAACTGCCACTTTCATTATTAAGAAGTCATTACAAAACAAATGTTACTGTAAAAAAGTGCATACAATAATAATAATAAGCGAGCAGAAGAAGAAAAGGTTCTAAATGGAACCTTCAAGGGTTCCGTCAGGCGCTACATTTACAGGTGAAACTCGAAAAATTTGAATATCGTGCAAAAGTTCATTTATTTCAGTAATTCAACTTAAAAGGTGAAACTAATATATTATATAGACTCATTACATGCAAAGTGAGATATTTCAAGCCTTTATTTGTTATAATTGTGATGATTATGACTTACAGATATGAAAACATTTTCACAATATTCTAATTTTGACTTTGGGGTTTTGATAAGCTGTAATTAAAATTATAACAAATAAAGGCAAATCTCACTTTGCATGTAATGAGTCTATATAATATATTAGTTTCACCCTTTAAGTTGAATTACTGAAATAAATGAACTTTTGCACGATATTCTAATTTTTCGAGTTTCACCTGTAGATACGCTTTTAGGGGTTCAGATCATGGGATCATTTCATGGATTTAGACTTCATTTTGTTTTATTTTTTATTTTAAGCACATTTCATAAATGAACAGCTCGTAAACATACTTAATCCCTAGGGAAAAAATGAAATAAGCTAAGTATTACGCAATCATCAATGGCAGTTCTTTAGAACCCCAATGTAAGAAGTGCAACTGTGAAACGGACACATTTGGGTTACACTTTATTTTAAGGTGTCACTGTTACAGTGTAATTCTATATTTAAGTACTGAGTAATATTAAGCAACTACATGTACTTGCTATAGGGTTAGGGTTTGGTTGAGGGTTAGTTGCATGTAATTATGCATAATTTACTGTTATTACTAAATATATGTAACATATGGACACTGTCAAATAAAGTGTTAGCCAAATCTGTTTGAGCATATCAGCTCTACTCTCACTGTCATATATTACTCATCAGATTTCTCCTAAATGAAGCATACTTTCTCCTGACCGACTTTAATGTAAAAAAGAAACAAGTACAAATCGAGAGGGTGTTTGCCAAGAAAAGCATGACTAAAAGTTGTTATTTCTGTCTTGATTTCAGCTCAGCAAACTGGATTCGTTGAAATGTTGTTCATCAACCCACACGTTCTGAACGCGTTTGAAAATCAATTAGTCTGTACCACGTTGAAGTGAAACCCGCTGTGTGTAAGGTGGGCTGTATAATGACAGAAGCGAATCGAATCACTGAGTCATGCAGAAACCGCGAAGCCTAATTATGTGCTCGTCCAGGCATAAAAACAGAGCAGAAGAGAAGAAAACCAGTTTCTTACCTTCAAATCATTGGTGGTGGGTGAGTTGATCAAAGTTGTGCTTTTGCCCTTTTTTTAGAGAAAAGAAGAAACAAATCAGATTTAAAACCGTGTAAAACTAACGCCGCAGATCCCAGCCGTAGATCTTTCGAAATCAACTTACCATTCCTTTCTTAATCTTCTCGAGTTCATTCATAACTTTGCCGAGCGTGAGTATCATCGGCGACTCGTCAGCCTGCGAAACGAACCAACACGCCACTGCGAACAGAACACACACGGACGCCTTCATGTTTAAGCTGCAGCGCTTCTTCTCTAAAGCTAGTTGGATTGATGTCCTTCATACTGTCTACAGGTACACAATCACCTTTATATACGAATCCTTGAGGACGCAGGAAAACCGCTTCTCTGTGGAGATTGGAAAGTCAATTTTTACAATGAGTAATATAGTTTTTCTTTTCCACTGGCATTCGTCATGACTGTCAGTTGACAAAGATGTAATCGAGAGGCGCGTGCGCGGGGGTGTACGGATGCAGTGTGTGTGTGTGTGAACCTGACCCAGACTTTCTGCACACTTTGCAGGAAACTACAAAATGCTGTCAGTTCCTCTTCTCATTCTGAATCAGCATCAGAAACGTGTGTGTGTGTGTGTGTGTGTGTGCGAGCGGCTATAGGTGCGGCATCATTAAGCACAAGTGGATATGACAAAGGTGCTTTTTACTTTGCGGCTTCCCACACAAACCATATTGATTATAGACAAAAACAGGAAGTTTAATGTATTTTTCATCTTATGAGATAAGAATAACCCTGGAAATGAAATATTTGCACCCAAACCCTGAAGGGGTTAAATTACCGGCCATATCGGTAGCTAAAATTAAAACCTTAAAGAAAAGGAAGAAAAAAAACACATTCTCATAACTTGAAATAAAATAAATTATCTGTATAAAAAGACATTGCTAATCATTTCTCAGTTTCATTTGGTTTAACTCGATGTTCTAAGATAATTCGTTAAAAAACTGAAATAAAAATGATGAAAACTATTATAGGCATATGTAAAAACAAAACAAAAACTACTAAAAATGACAGAAACTCACACTTTAGGTAAAATAAAAAATATATCCTAATAAAATAAATATTCATAAATAAAAAAAACTCTTTGAAAATGTTTTGCAAGAAATTGCTGGGTAACACTTTAGTTTAGGGTCCAATTCTCATTAACTAGTTGCTTATTAGCATGCATATTGCTATTGACTGTTTATAAAGCACATATTAATGCCTTATTCTGCATGACCATATTCTACATCCCTTAATCCACCCAATACCTAAACTTAATAACCCTACTAACTATTAGTAAGCAGTAATTAGGAGTTTACTGAGGAGAAAGTCACAGTTAATAGTGAGAATTGGACCCTAAACTAAAGTGTGACCGAATACTGTTTCATTTATGTTTAATTCAGTGTGTTACTTCTTTGTGAAATGTCAAAATTCAAAATTATTTGTGAAATTGACCACTGGTGAAGTGAAAATCGTTGTCAGTGTAATCGAATCTCAATGACACTAAAGCAACACGGCTTGTGGCTTCAGTTCCGCAGTGTCACGACGCGATCACCCAACATCATAGAACAGGAAATGAGCTCACAGTGGGCCTCTGAAAGAACCCCTCCGCCAGCCAATCACAGGCCTCGCTTCGACAGGAAGTGGTGTGTGTCATACCATAGTGTCACCGCGACAGGGGAAGGCCCTGGTGACCCCCGGACAGGACAGGTTCACGCTGGGGATTCCTCCCTTCACCAGGATCATGGAAGTAATTTGTGCTCGAGGTGAAAACTGCATGATTCGAAACTTTCCTCCGTCAGTCATGTCTAGATCTGAATGGTTTCCCTCAACCTGGAAAGCACAATGAGTGTGTGGGTTTATGTGTGAGTGTGTGGGCGGGGGTCTAGTGGTGGCATCCATATCATGACATACGTACAACATGCAAAAGTTCACTGATACAGATCTGTGTTTTCTGATGACGAAAATCCGTCCAAAAGATGTGTCGAGAATGAGCAGCGATGGAATATGCTGAAATGTTTTCACATTTATTTTTGATTGGAACAGTTTATTAAACCTTTAGACAATTTTTTTTATATATATATATATATATATATATGTTTTTGAAACATCCGGCTTTTATGGCTCTTATAGTATGATATTAGGATTGGTAAAAACATTTAGAGACACAAACTGAGCAAAAATATGCAATTTGGTGGATCTGCTGATATTTATATAGACAAAAAGTTGTAAGATGAAATTTGGATGCTTGCAATGAGATCTTTATAACATTGTAGCAGAAAGTTACATACAATGCATATCTGTTGTCTCTATATCTCTCAATAATGTCTTAGTATGGTATTTAAAAGCTTAGTTTTATAATCAAAGCTCTGTAGTTTTATGTTTTGCAATACAATGATGATTGAGAGAGGAACAAATAAACCTGATGATCATATTTGATACTCATGTTTGAACATGATTTAAAAAAGAAAAAGAAAAGATAATCGAGTAAAACTCGTAAAACTAAGTTGCTTCAGTCCAGAAAGTGTTCATCTTGAAATTACTAACAAGATTAATTTATGCTTATATTTACTTAATAAAACCAGTAAAGATTTCACAGCAAAAAGACGGCTTGAAGCACGAGCTGAAGTTGGACGTTTGTACAATCATACTAAAAGACTTTTACTTGCTAAAAACAGTTTCCATCAGAAGGACTGGAGGAGATTGTGTGCAACGTGTTTATCAGCAAAGCTTTGAACATGTTGATCATTTAAATAATTTGTGTATCAAATATGAAACAGTTTCCCTTATAACTCATCTTTGATCACCAAAATGACATTTAAATGTTTTTTCCTTGAAAATAATGTCTTCATGTCTTAAAATATCTTGAATGTAACTCGACACCCTTGCCTCATTTAGTATGCGCAGGTCTATGAATATGCAAATGAGCCCTGCCTCCACTCACTCACTCGTTGACGATCACACGTTGATCTGATTGGTTACAAGGTAGTTCAGTAATCAATATGATAAGCCTTTTGCTTGACTACATTATAAGAATATAATAATATTTTGCTATAATGTTACACAAACCATGTTCCTGTTTGCCATGGTTTGTCTCACAGCATTATAAAACACCACAGACACAAACAAAAGAGGATTTTCACCACAGGTCTTTAAATAGAGCGGTGAGGGAAACATGTTTGTGGTAGCTGCAGGCATAATCATATTAGCTGTAATATTCCATTAAAAAAATGATATGTAGAATTTTATGAATGAGAGACATTCACGTTCTGTGGATTTCTGCAGAAGCAGATTCTGTGTAGGCCTGGAAATGAACATAAAATCAAAAGTGACCCAGTTTATGTCTTTAATATATGCTCCTTTTCATTATCAGTTTATGTCACCGGTGATTTTTAACCCGTCTCCATTCAATGCATTTCTGCCGGATACGATCAAATCCTGTCCTACTTTTCCTCCCCGTGTTGAATATTCTTTGTTTTGGCACAATGCCACTTTCCAGAAGAGCTTATGAATGTTGTTTGTTTCGTGTTGACTTTACAGATGTTGAGAGACAGATCGGTGTTATCTGTGGCTGATGTGTAAAACGCAAGAAAATACTGGAGGCATGAGAAGCAATGATTCACACTAAAAAAAATTACACTTTTAGATATTATATTATAAGAGTCTGGAATGATGATGTTTATTCACCTGCAAGACCGTTAGAACCTGGATAACCTACAAACATAGATAGATTTTTCCTAGATATATATATCATTTTCAATCACGTTTGTCTGTTATATATATATATATACAGTATATTAATCAATATCTCAATAACATAACTATATATATTTTGTTTATTGATTAATATGAGGTTAAAATATGCATGCATTAAAAAACTGCATGCAAATCTACAATAACCAGAAAAATGCTATAAAATTAATTTAGGGTCTCATGACACTGTATTTCAAAAGTATTTCATGTTAACTGGTGATAGACATATATATATATATATAGATAGACAGACAGACAGATATATATATATATATATAGATAGATAGACAGACAGACAGATATATATATAGATAGACAGACAGACAGATAGATAGATAGATAAACAGACAGACGGACGGACAGACAGATAGATAGATAGATAGATAGATAGATAGATAGATAGATAGATAGATAGATAGATAGATAGATAGATAGATAGACAGACAGACAGATAGATAAACAGACAGATAGATAGATAGACAGACAGACAGATAGATAGATAGATAGACAGACAGACAGACAGACAGATAGACAGACAGACAGACAGACAGATAGATAGATAGATAGACAGACAGATAGATAGATAGATAGATAGATAGATAGATAGATAGATAGATAGATAGATAGATAAACAAACAGACAGACAGATAGACAGACAGATAGATAGATAGATAGACAGACAGACAGATAGATAGATAGACAGACAGATAGATAAACAGACAGACAGACAGACAGACAGATAGATAGATAGATAGATAGACAGACAGATAGATAGATAGATAGATAAACAGACAGACAGATAGATAGATAGACAGACAGACAGATAGATAGATAGATAGATAGATAGACAGACAGACAGATAGACAGACAGACAGACAGACAGACAGACAGACAGATAGACAGACAGATAGACAGATAGATGATGGATGGATGTACAGATTTTCATTTTCATTCTGTTTCTTGTCTTTGTTTCAGTTTTGTTTGGTTAACTTCAAAGTCTCGTTCTTTTTTGCAAAAACAAATATTACATTTTTTCAATATGCAAACTTTTTTCTTTTACTATTCATTTGTGATGACTAACGTCACAAAAGTTCCAAATTCATATACAATATTAGCATACAAAAATATTGCGATGCAGTGGAAAAGTGTCTGAGGCAAGATGACAGAAAGAGATTGATGAGATTTTGTTTTCCTTAAAAGGTAATGCTCAATATTTCCATACAAGGAAAATGTGCCTTTATGTATTTCGACAGTTAATCGACCGCAACACAAAATCTGACACAAACTTGACACGCAGGCAAATTGCAAAACGACCTTTTTATTAGTTCCCACAGTAGTTTCACATTAAAAAGTTTAATTTATAAAACTAAAAAAAAGGTGTAATAAAAAAAAAAATCAAAAATCTTTGCTTAAATGTGGGAAAGCCCCTAACGTTGATCAAAGATAACCTAACGCTAAAATAGAGAGAATATTTCAAGTTATGAGTCAGTTTCTGTTGCCATATTTCCATCAAAAGATGAAACCAAGCAAAATTGTGCACAGAATTCTTACTCACTGTTTTTCAGTTAAAACAAGGCCGTGAACCACATCGTTTGAATACCAGAGCCTCGTTAAAACAGCCGAAACTAGTCTTTAAGTCAGAGCAAAGTTCCTTAAATCCTCAGGTGTTTTTGTCATATTTGAGTTGTTTGTTGTGTGGAGGAGGTTCACACATCCTGATATTGAGGTGGGTTACAGTGTTAAAATGCCATTCAGCCCACAAAACAAAACAGATGGTTACAAACAAATTGACTCACGCTTGCCTTAAATGTTTTTGACCGAACAGATCTGACTTGACTGAGTCATGTTACGGTTTTAGAAGCTGCTATAAATCAGGAACTTTATGTTTCATCGCACACATCAGTGAGGAACATACATTAAGGAACAAAAACTACAATACATAACTGACATACACTACTCAATACCGTATATGCATATTTACTAGTGGGTATAGATGATTATTCAGAACAGGGGAACATTTTTGTA